TAAAGCTGACCTTTGTGTGTGGATTCCTCTTGGTGGGCTCAGAGAGGATTTTCTTTACGCTGCGATCGTAGTTGTTATTTATAACTCTCACCAAATGCTTTTATAAAGGAAAGTTTTATAATCTGTTGTCATAGTTTACATAGCAATGTTTTCACCATGCCATGAATAGATAATTATTTCCGCTGTAATTCTGATCACATGTTTATATACCGCTGTAACTTAAATTGTTCATAACTCTGATAACATGATTACATTCCGCTGTTATACAATAACTATTATACTCTGATGTTGTATTAAAAGTGATGTAAGAAATGATCAAGAATGATGTAAGCTTTATTCTCTCATTTGTGATCCTGATGTAAAAATGTGGATTTTTTGGTTCTCCCCTGGGGTGTGCCCGACGGAACCGAGTAATTTGGTGTTCTCCCTTGAGTGCTTAGTGTTTAATGGAAGAAGAGCACTCTTGGGAGACATTAGATTAGGCGGTTCTGCCACACGTTGGCACGCAGGGTGAGAACACCCTGTTCCATCGGGATCTTCAACACCAGGTAGACATAATGGGGCACGACCATGAACTTGGCAAGAGATGGTCAGCCAAGGATGGCGTGGTAGGCGGTGTCAAAGTCTGCCACGAAGAAGTTCACGTACTCAGTACTGAAGTGGTCAGCGGTGCCAAACTAGACTAGCAAGGTGATCTGCCCCAAAGGTTGGGACGCTCTACCAGGTACAATCCCCCAGAATGGAGAATCAATAGGGACGAGATCGTCCTTTGTGAGGCCTAACTCAGTTATGGCTCCGGCGAAGAGGAGATTGAGGGCACTCCCACCGTCGATGAGGACCTTCTTGAACCGCACGTTGTTGCGGATGGTGGGATCCAGCATGAATGGGAAATGCCCTAGGTATGGGATATCCGCCCACTGGTTGGCCCTACTGAAGGTGATAGGGTACTCCGACCAGTTTAGATATTTAGGATCGGCGACCGTGTCGTACTTGGTGATCGATATGATCTGCCAAGCAGTGAGTTTCTACTGGCGTTTGCTCTCGGAGGCAGCGTACCCTCCGAAGATTGTGGCGATGGTCTTGTTGGCATCCTAGAAAGTGGGTCGTGCATCCTTAGGACGCTCCTCCCCCTTGTCATCATCTGACTCGTCGTCCTTGCGCCGCTGCCGTTTCTGCTCCTCATCATGGAAAGCTTTGGCCATGCCATAGCATTGCCGCATGGTGTGCTTACTGTCCTTGTGAATTGGGCACGGACCATCAAGGAGCTTTTCATAGGCAGCATTGAAATAGCGCTTAGCGCGTGGCTGCTCTATGTTGTTGATGAAGTTTTCCGGTCGACGGCGACGTGGCTATGCATCCCTTGATCCCTCTGGACAATCATTATGACGACGTTCGCGGTCGTCGTAGCGCCTACCGCGATCTTCATAACGCCATTCTTCATGGTGATCATCATCACGACATGGGTGGTGATCTGAGTAGGAAGCACGAGCAACGTCCTCCTTGAACTACCGATCAGCTTCTTCGAAGTCTGCGTATGAGTTTGCAACCTTGAGGAGTTCACCGATGGTCTAGGGCCTCTTGCGGTGAAGTATGGAGCGCAGCTCCTAATGGTGATGGAGTCCTCTGGTGAAAGAGGAGATGTATCCCCAATGTTGGGGATGATGCTCCTTGTTTCGAAGAAATGCCTGATGTAGCTTCACAGAGGTTCCCTAGAGGTTTGATGGAGTTTCTCTAGATCATATTTCGTGCCAGGCTACTAGCACGTTGCCATGTAATTCTCGACGAAGACTTTCTTGAGATCATCCCAAGATTCGATGGAGTCCTCCTTTAGGCCCATAAGCCAATTGTTGGCTGTCTAGGAGAGCATGACATGCAAATAATTTGCCATTACGTCGTTGTTTCCCCCGGCGGCATGCACGTTGATCTCGTAGAGCTGCATCCACTCGTCGGGATTAGCCTTGCCATTGTAGGGATCGACCTCGAAGATCTTGAAGCCTATGGGCCACTATATAGCTCACAGCCTTGCTGTGAAGGGGCGAGGTCCCGTCGGCTAGATAGCGAGGAGTGGTCAGAGGCCGACAGGGTTGCCGTGTTGGTCGTCATACTCTTGTCGGTGTTGGAGTTCTGCCTGATGTCTCGGGGCATGACTGTTTCAATGCGATTGCAGGCATCGAGATTGGCGTTGATGCGGTCATAGGCATCACCGCGCAGGGGTTGATTAACCTCCTGGTTGGCGTTACAAGCTGGTCGGACACGCTAATTTTGTGGTCCTTGTGATCCAGGATTGATGGCAACATTACCCCTAGACCCCCTTGGACGATTTGGCTGCTATGGTAGCGACTCCCCCCATCACGACGAGAGCCACGAGGGTTACAACTGCGTGCGGACGCTGTCGAAAATGATGAAGCTGGGTTTTGGATGTCGTTGACCTAGACCTGAGCTGCTTTAAGCAGTGCTTGAATCTTGAGTACCTCCGGCGTTGGCGAGAGTCTAGCCAACTCGTGGGTGGCCACAGCCAGATTGGCGCTCAACGTCTGCTCCACTTGCTGGTTGTCCACCATGAGGAACTCTTGTTGGAGATTATGGGCAAGAGGTGGCAGGTCACCTCTAGTAGCTTGGGTGGTGTTTTCTGCTTCTTCATTGCGACGTCGTTGGTGATCAGCGTTCCTGGCTTCGCGCTCATAGTGCTGGACACTGGTTTCTCCATCGATAGCAACGCTGTCGTGACTAACCGTAAAAATCTCTTTCCTAAAGCCTGGAGGGAAAGGTGGGCAGTTGCTGGTAGAGCCCTTGGAGTATGGCTCGGGGCTTTCCTCTAGGATTGTATGGAGCGTGTCATCCGGAAGATCTGTTCGGATTTGCACCATGCTTACCATTGGCGCAGGCTGGTCGGCCTCAGGGAAGTCGATCTGGTAGAGGTCGTTGACGTGATTGCGCTCATCGTGGTCGGCGAAAAGATGGTGCATGGCGTCTTGACAGATCGGACCCGCACCCACCAGCCCAAAAGAATAGGGCTTCGGCATGCTCTCCGTCAAGGCGGGGAGTGATCGGCGTTGAACGGTACGCCCTTCCGGAGTTGCCGTGATCACCAAATCTTCATCTTGCCACCTCGGACGACGTGAAAGAGTAGGATTCTCGGCATTAGTGGCATGGTGACCTTGGAGTGTAGGAATTTTGTTGCTCGCTCTGGATTGATCTAAGACCAAATTCACTAGGAGTTGGCATTCCACTAAGCGGTCTGTGACCCGATCAATGGATGCGATAAGATCGTCATTGCTGATGGATCTCCTAACCCAGTGGCAAGGCGCCGAGATCGGAGATGTCATTATAGATGTTGGCACGATCGGCGCAGGATGATTCTGCACTGCCTCCATGATTTCCTCAACGCCGTCGACACCGATGACCTAGGTCATAGATCCGACCGTGAAGGTCTGACCTGGCTCGGGAAGGATCATGGAGCTCGGGAAGCAGACCATCTGGCTCGCCATGGAATCAGCACGCACACCCCCAACCTGGCGCGCTGCTGTTGACGAAATATGGTCGGGAGTCTACCGAGGGGTATGCCCATGGTAGTAGATGAATCGGTGGAGGTGTGCATAATAGGAGCCGGATGGTGACACATGCGCAGAGACAAGCGATTTAGACAGGTTCAGGCCGTCTGATCAACGTAATACCCTACGTCATGTGTCTTTGGTGGATTGTATTGAATATGAGATGCATTCGAGGGGGTCCCTACCCGCCTTATATAGCCTGGAGGGTAGGGTTACAGGTCGGTTTAGGTCTAGATCTATTCGGCTATATGGTAAGTATTTACAAGAAATACGATATCTATCTTATCCGAACAGATCTTCCTTCATCGCCAAGATGTCTTCTGATTGCCTTGCGGTGCACGCTGACCAGTGTCGAGCATCGTAGGCCTTGATCTTATAGGCTGGACCTCCCCTAGTGGTGCGGCCCATGTCCATTGCTGTGGGTACCTGGAGTTATATCCCCCACAGTCACACCAGCGCCTGGGTGTCTGCATGCTGCGAACACCAGTTCTCCGGTGACGACTCCTCAATGCACGACAGATCCGCCTCCGTCGTCGCCTGTGCAGGGCATGCCTCCGCAGATAGGGCAGCCCGTTGTCGTGGGTGCTGTGGCGCCTGGGGATGATGTGAGGTCTGGCCATATGGGTTCGAGCCGGCCAAGCACATGGCGGGTACTTCTACGCCGACGCAGGACAGCTAGCCAGATAGCCAAGCCACGCTTGACCCCAGCGACACGACGCCCATGCCGCGCGATGCCGCTCGGCGTCTCACACGGTTTACCGAGGAGGTGCGACTCAAACGAAGTTCGCCCTTAATCGCCACTCCACCAAGGCAGAAGGCGGCAACCAAAAGGCCCCTTCCAATCAGAAGCAGATGGATTGCTGCTCAACCGCTGGCGCACATACCGACCTCCAAGTGGGGTGAGGTACTCCTCATGCAAAGGATGGGCATCGCACCACTGGCAGTTCCAGTTTCATCTGCGTCCAAGGGAACATACGAAGCCTTATTCGTAAGGAACTTGACGCCGAGCCACGTGGCAGCTCTGGACGAGCTGTTCCCAGCGACCAACAGCAGGGCTGGTAGAAGAGCGCTCTTCTCGGATGGCGGAGTAGGGTCCCGCAGCCAGCAGCGGAGAAGCCCAGCTCCGTAGGTCGCTGCAGTGCTCTTGTTTGGTTGTTTACCATTTATGTAATTTTGAAGTTTGTAACAGTCTGCTAGGAAGGTCTAGTCATAGCTGTAAGACCATCTAGCGCGCTCTTCAAAGCGTGTCGTTTCTATGGTTAAACTCTTTTTTTTAATTACAATGATACGTAAATCTTTTACGTATTCGTGAAAAAACTTTCACCGGACAATCAAACTTTCTTTAATAATCGTTAGCACATCAGTGTATGAGAACAAAAAATGCTGCATGATGGACCTGGCATGGCACATGTTCCATCCTTGTTGCGAACCCAGGATGTGGTAGTTTTTTTAAGACTTCAACACTTGAGAACTACGGTGCTTGGCATCAAAGTTGGCTGCAGTTTGGCTTAGTGTCCATTGCATAAGCTCGCAGTCTGGCAAGGCAACTGCAGAAGCACCCAAGGTGAAAGGATATACAGACCAGAAATTTTCAGACTCAGACACCTTATAATCAAGGCACACGCATGACATTACATACGTAGTAATAACTAGCTTTAAGCCTGAGGACAATCAAACAGCCATTCATGCATATCCTGTTAAACACCCAACGACAGGACATAAAAACACTCAAATGTATTACTGAGGATACTTGATACTGGAAGCAATCAAAATAAACGAATGGGCAATAAGCTGAACAAATTCAGAACCATCTCGGTTGCTACATAGTTATAAAGACAACAAAATGCTTTGCGATTTTGCAAAAGCCTGAAACAAGCCTGCTACGCCCCAGGGTACAACCCAAAGTCCAAAAAATGTGACCATGGCCCTCAATTCGTTGGCACTGAACACAGTTCAGTATTGAGGAACAGAACTGCAGTGCTACAGATAAGAACAATGATCATTTCTAATACCAGAGCACTACTACTAAGTAAATCTGTCAAAGGCATTCATGGCATCAATATCCTCCACATTAGTAGCTAAGCTATAGTTTTTTTGTCAACGGACTGATACAGAAACAAGCCTTTTTTGGTCCACCATGGAGTAAGTTCAGACCTTGGACTCCTGCGGCTGTGATTCCTATCACTGAGACCTGAAAGGTCGAGACAGAGCAACTGGCTATCCACTTCAAGCAGCTGCTTTCCTGTTTCAGGCATTGCAGAGTTGGGTGATGCGGCAACCTTTTCATGATCATGAACTTTGTGAAACTTCTTGTGGCTTGCCAATCCTTTGCTGGATGTGAAGACCTTGTCACAGAGCTTGCAATCATGTGTTGCTGTTGCCTTCAACACTTGCGAGAGACTGATGAACCTCAGCTTCACATCAGAGATGTCGCTCTCTGGCACCAACTCAGCATTCCCAGTTTGGCGGTGACCAGAGTAATCCAGCTCCATCTCACTCTTCTGCTCTAGGTAGGCCAAGTTGCCATCCATCTCATAATCCTCACCGCAATGCTCATAAGCTGAGTCCATGCCAGAATGTCCTGAGATCATCATCAGAACACGTGCAGCATTCACCTCCTCCATCCCGTACGTCAAGGTCACTGGGGTAGACACAGGGACATTGTGATCACAGTATCCATCGCTCTCTCTTGGCACCTCCTCTGCCACCATCTTCCTCTCGCGTCGAGTGTGTGCTCTCATGTGCATCCCCAGCGCACCGCGGGAAGCGAAGACCTTGAAGCACAATTGGCATTCTGTCTTGGGGACCGGTGTCAGGTACTGGTCGTCCCTGGAATCACACAGCAACCAGGTACTGTGTCGCCTCTCCCGGAGGCCATACCCGCCGGCACCACCTCTGGTGTTGGCAAGGCTAGGCGCGGTCCTTGACAGCTTCTTTTGCTTGCGTTTGCCGCTGTGAAGATTCATGTGGCCCCCGAGCGACATGTATGCTGTGAAGCTTTTCCTGCACAGCTTGCACCAGTGTTTCCTTCCTCTCGGCGGCATCCCTGAACTGTACAGAGCAACAATCAATGAAACGATGAACTCGATATGGATGAAAGGAGGAAATGAGACCCACGAACAGAAACCTACACGCACACGGGTAAATCTTGATTCTTAAAACCACTCCCCGCAATAAAAGCGGTTATTTTTGTTGCGGAAATTATTTTCGGGAAACCCTCTACGGCATGAATGAACTTGTGAAATGGCTTGAAATTTACCAAAAACATGAGCTTTGTTCTCCCTTGAGAAAAACAAGACGAGATTCCTTTTACATAAAAAAGAAGGGGAGGATATTCGATTGGATTGGTAAGAGGAGAGAAGCAATAGCTAGTAGCTACTCGACGGAAACCCCAAGAACGCAATAAGTAGAGCATATCGGAAGAACCAAATCAGTCGACCGTCGACAAACCAAGCAAATTTACTCGTCATCGGAGAAAACGGGTTGGGTTTGTTTTGTTCAACCGCATTCTAGACGCAAGCTCGCAAATTTACAGCTAATCGGAAAAATGGAATTCCTCGGAAAAATCAAGAACTCTGAATTGGTGTGGTGCAGAGACTAAACCAAACCTCCAATCGCCTCCCTTTGGATCTCACGGCGACCTGGAGGATTTGACACCGATTCCCGCGGCAGCCCGGCAGCCTCCTACCGTTGCAGTTGCAGCTCGCGGCGGCGGTGGTGGGGGTTTCTTGCTTGCTGCTTTTTGGAAGGGGCCGAGGGGAGGAAATGGAACCCGGGGCGTTTCTAGTGCGCAGCGCGACTAGAGAGAGCCGTTGGCGTTCGATCAGACGGTCGTGAAGGCGCTAGGGTCGTGGGTAGCCGGCGGATACCGCCAAAATTTTCTGACACGACGTAGGCGGGGTTGAGTTTAGGAATTTTGGTTTTTGGATTTTATAAGGAAAGACTCACGGATGTTGAAAATTGTGTAGAAATATAATTATTGAGATTGGTCTAAATGTCAATCTTTATACTATGCCATGTTTGTTTATTTAACACCTATAAAAACTCTTATAAACCTTCCATTAACACTGGTTCAAATACAACTAGTTTCAACTTTCAAGTGCTACACTAAACGTTGAAAGTTCAAGCTAACACCATTTGATTTTTTCCCCAAATGAAAACCCTATTCGATTTGATTTGTTAGAAGACCACATGGAATCTTTATATAAATCACACAACTTTGTAACGACGACGACAATAATAATAATAATAATGACAACGACAATTAAAGAAAACATACATGCACGAGAGAACCAACAGATGGTTGGCGCCATGGCAAGCATAGCAACAGAGTAGGGGCTCTGGTGGCCATGAGAAAAATGAAGTCTACCATCATTGTGAAATTTCTTTTGAAATACACTCACGCACATACACCTAGACACACCTTAATGGATGCATGTGCACTGAAATATTACGCGCAAATTTAAAATTAACAAAATTATCGTAGGTGTCTTAATGTCGATCATCACCTATAACACTCAAAAACGTGACTTTCTTAAAGCATCTTTTGGGAAGTGTATTTGCATGTGTCTTACACAATATGAAGTACTCCTATTTTTCATTACTTTTAAACTCACTTCTCCTATATTTCAGGTGCCTGAATTTTAAGATAATTTTAGACAACGCTCTTATACAACGACCTAATGCAAGTAATTTGTTACTTTTGTGATTTGTTATTTGTCTTTGTATCATACCATATCAAAATTTTGTTCTTGTCCGACTATAGAAACAATTATAAATTGTTAATTTATATCCGTGAAACTACAATGCCGCAAGATCCGTTAGCTCAGATGACCATTAATTTATATCCTGGTTAACTCAATTTCGTGACATGAAACAGGATCAATGGTTTGCCAATGTTTCACACACACTGAAATGTATATATATTATATAAATGAAGCTACGAACAAAACAAAACTTATACACATATTATTAGTAGCAGGTATGCCAAAAAAAAGATTTATATATACCTAAGTACAAAACATGTCGGCATATCGAGCTAACTTGTAAGTAAAAAGCTGTGAAATGAGAACACAATGAAATTAACAGGGAAACCTAATTAATGATGAATAGCAGGATCAGATCAGAGGAAGTGTAAGGAGTCCTGCAGATGGATCGATCGATGGATCATGCGACGGCTGGCATGTCCTTGAGCCAATCGTCGAGCGGCTTGCCGATGGCGTAGACGACGAACCCGATCTCCCGGAGCTTGGCTGGGTCGACGACGTTGCGGCCGTCGAAGATGAATGCCGGCTTGTGCATGGCATCGAACATGCGCTTGTAGTCGAGCGTCCTGAACTCGTCCCACTCGGTGAGGATGCAGACGGCGTGCGCGTCGCGCGCCGCCTCGTAGGCGTCCGGCGCGACGGCGACCTGCTTGGCCAGGTCGGTGGCGCTGAGCGGCTGCAGGTGGCGCGGGTGGTCCCAGTCGAACTTGTTCATGGCGAGGTCCCGCGACACCTGCTCCCCGGTCACCTGCGGGTCGTAGATGCTGATGACGGCCTTGTCCCCGAGCAGGCCGTTGCAGACGTCGATGGCGGGCGTCTCGCGGGTGTCCCCCGTGTCCTTCTTGAAGGCGAACCCGAGCACGGCGATCTTCTTGCCGGCGACGGTGTTGAACATGGAGGAGACGACGCGGTTGACGAAGCGGCTCTTCTGGTGGTCGTTGATCCGGATGACCTCCCGCCAGTAGGCGGCCACCTCGGGGAGGCCGTAGCACTCGCAGATGTAGACGAGGTTGAGGATGTCCTTCTGGAAGCAGGAGCCGCCGAAGCCGACGCTGGCGGAGAGGAAGCGCGGGCCGATGCGGGCGTCCCTCCCCACGGAGTGCGCCACCTCGGTGACGTCGGCGCCCGTGGACTCGCAGAGCGCGGAGATGGCGTTGACGGAGGAGATGCGCTGCGCCAGGAAGGCGTTGGCGGCGAGCTTGGACAGCTCGGCGGACCACAGGTTGGTGGTGATGATGCGGTCCGGCGGAACCCACTGCGCGTACACGTCCCGGAGCTTTGCGACGGCGGCGCGGCCCTCGGGGGTCTCGCGGCCGCCGATGAGCACGCGGTCGGGCGCGAACAGGTCCTTCACCGCCGTGCCCTCCGCCAGGAACTCCGGGTTGGACAGGATCTGGTACCGCACGCCGCGGCTGTTGTGCACCAGGATCTTCTCGATGGCCTCCGCGGTCTTGACAGGCACCGTCGACTTCTCTACCACGATCTTGTCGGAGCGGGAGACGTCGGCGATCATGCGCGCCGCGCTCTCCCAGTAGGTGAGGTCGGCGGCCTTGCCGGCGCCCAGGCCGCAGGTCTTGGTCGGGGTGTTGACGGAGACGAACACGATGTCGGCGTCGCCCACGTGGCGGTGCACCTCGGTGCTGAAGAAGAGGTTGCGGCCCCGGCACTGCCTCACGACGTCGTCCAGCCCCGGCTCGTAGATCGGGAGGCGCTCGCTGTTCCACCCGGCGATGCGCGGCTGCGAGATGTCCACCACCACCACCTCGATGGCCGGGCACTTGAGCGCGATCACCGCCATCGTCGGCCCGCCCACGTACCCCGCGCCGATGCAGCAGATCTTCACCATGGTCACTCTGCACCTGCTACACCACATGCATCAACAAACACCGAACATCCATCTTTATTACGTATTATTATTAATTTACTTGAGTAGTGTAAGTAGTGCATTACAGTCTATACTAGTACTAGCAACAACACGGTAATCTTCATCAGAGTAAAAAAGAGAGATTTAAGAGATCGATCGTGGTTGCAACCCTTTGACTCGTTGGTGCTACGAGGAACAGGAAACGGAATGGAGCATGTGAAATGGCGTGAAGAAGAAGAGGAGAAAGGAGACGGGATGTGATGACAAGTGAACGGCTACGAGTGAATGTAGTGTAGTGAGCGCCCACTTTTACCGCTCCAGCTCTGTGACCAGATTAATTCACCCCCTCTGCTTTTCACCGTCATTCACCACTAAATCGTGAATTATATACACCCTCCGTGTTATAGTCAAGAAAATCTTCTTATGTTCTATATTAGATAAAGAAAATAAAAGTTGATGCCTATGCAATGGGACATTTACTTAGCCTTTTGTTCAATGGTACATCATCACCTCGCCTACAGCTGTGAGCAATTAACCACCACGCATAGCCACCTACTGATCTCCCGCCATTGTTAGCGCGCGTTTCACATGCATACACTAAAACATGTGGATATTTCACAATTATACAGAATGTATTGCATTAACATGAAAAACGAGGGTGGTACGTATCTCTCTCCGTTATGCATAGGTTTGTTCGACATCTGAACCGCCATGAAACCTCTTCCCTATCCTCTGTCTTTTTTCTCGAACAAGCACGAGAGCTGCACATCAATATATTAAGATAGAATGAATAATCCGATTACAAGCCAACTCCACGGCATGGGTTAGTTTTTTTTAACACATACGCGCCCTGTCAGGATGTAAACAGCCAGTAACCAACCATATCACCCAGAGCACTGCTTGCTTAGCAATCTCCTGTAGCACCATCCGAACATCTGGGTTACATCCCTCAAGCACGCAGCGGCTCGGATGCTTCTAGTTTGGCCGGGCGGTTAAGATAACCAGTGAGTTAACACCCTTACGCTTGCATTTTGGGGCGCGCCACGATGTTCGTCACCACCACTTCTTGAACACATCAGAGTTAGGCTGACTAATGTACTTGGGGATGAACACCGGAGCCTAGGCGGTTGCACCTGGTGCACTCCTCGCTCTCCCCATGGCCGACCATGTCTTGGAGCCGAATGACCAACAAAAGATGTGCTTTCAACGCCAACGTGGATGTTTATGGGCTTCCTGATGCCTCACAGGCACATACTAATTTTCTTCATAGCCGAGAAGAAGCAAAGGAAAAATACAGTTACCAAAGGATATTTCTGTGGTTGTGTGGATGTTTCTGTGTTGCAGCATTTCTGACCTAGTGGACGGATGCATTCAGATGGGGTCTTTTGATATAGAGAGATATATATAGCACCAATGGGTGAAGGTAGCTTGGCCTTCTGTCAAGAATAAACAAGAGTTATATTTGACACACTAGTAGAGAACGGACCTTTTATCCTCGGTTAAAATAGGCTCTAGTCCCGGTATTTTTTGTGCCCGGGACTAGAGATACCTTTAGTCTCGGTTGGTGGCTCTAATCGAGACTAAAGGTCCCTCCCAACGGCTACTGGCAGGGACCTTTAGTCCCGGTAGGTGGCTCCAACCGGGACTAAAGGTCCCTGCCAGTAGCCGTTGGGAGGGACCTTTAGTCCCGGTTGGAGCCACCAATCGGGACTAAAGGTCCCCCTTTATATCCCGGCCGTCTCCTTCTTCCTCCCAGAGCCCGAGCTCAGCACATTTTGAAGCTCACTGCACTAGTGTTCTTGCTTCCTCCCTCCATTGTTCCTCCATCCATTCTTCGATTCCTCCGTCGATTCTTCAGTTGTAAAGGTTACCAATTACATACTCTCATTTTTCACCATTGTCTTATCTCATTTTGTTCAATATATATATATATATATATGGTTCTTTATTGTGGTTTTTTTCATTTGTAAGCAATTTGAGCTCAAAATCACTTCAAGCTTGCATATTTACATGAACGAAGGTTAAAGTAGCTAGTTAAACTTGTGGACCGTGTTCATCTCGGCGAGCATGTTCTCTGCCGAGCGGTAACGGACGTCAAGGAGGAGCTTTGATTCTACAAGGGAGAGCGGCAACGGTCGTGGAAGACCGTGTTCCCTTCCTCGTAGAATCAGAGCTCTTTCGTGGCCAAGTACGGTGCCGTCCGGTGGAGAAATGCTCGCCGAGATGATCACGTAAGTAAGGTCAACTAGTACGGATGGTTATTTATTCACATGTCCCGATATCGTCGCAGTAGTCTGTCAATCACCATACCCAAACGTAGTATATATATAAATATAAACGATAATCGATTGTTATGTGTGTACACTCCCATTCTTCTGTTAATTTGCGGAAATATCATGTGAATTACTTACCTACCGCAGTAAAAGACGAGAACACAATGACCATGGCCACGGCCATGAAAAATGCCAACGACACAACACTAGCAACTTTCTCAGCAAGCAGAGTAGTGTTAAACGCTCTGGAAACCTTTAAACTTCAAGCTTGCATATTTACTTGAAGGAAGGTTAAAGTAGCTATTAAAAACTAGTATTCACTGTTCATTTGTAGCATGCATAGCACACTTCATTGTTTAGAGATATAGAGAATTTTAGAGTTTTTTTTAATTTTATTTGTTTATAAAATGAGAAATTTATAGTGTATTAAAAAATGAGTATAGAGAGTAGATGGCAACTGCTTCCGGGTCCTCGGCCTCTCATGGGTTTCCAAAGCGACTTAGGCCGGGCCTCCTACTCATTGCATGCGACAAGTGTTGTGATGAGACGAAGATTGTGATGGAGTACCGAGTGAAGAAGGAGGGTCCCAACAAGGGTCGCATTTTCTACAAGTGTCCGGATCGCAATGTGAGTTATTTTATCGTATTTAATGACTATGGTTAGTTTATACCTATTTTCATGATGGTTGTGATTAAAGTTATAATTTTCTATTTTAATTTCAGTGGGATGGCACTGGATGTTCAGGCTTCTACTGGGAGGAAGAGTATGTTGAACTCGTGCAAAAATATCTTGCACAACAGGCAGATATAGCGGCTAATGAGGCAGTGATCCAGCCGAAGAAGCCCAAAGATGTTGAACAAACGGGGGATCTGTCTGTTTTAGTTAGGATTGGTCGTGAAATCCTTGTGCTGCTGAAGTGCATTTTAGCTTTAGTGTTTTTAGTGGTAGTTGAGATTATCTACATTGTAGCGATGATTTCTTGAATTTATAACTTTTGTGGTGGTATGCATGTTGTATAATTAACTAATTATGTTCTAGGTTTTAATACGGTATTTATGTCATGTAATGCAGATGAGTCGGCATTGGATGTACAATGCTGATCGTCGCTCCCAAGAGTTCATGGACGGCGTGCATTCTTTGTTACGTGCGGCCGAGGCAAACAAACGCGATGGTTTCATATGCTGTCCATGTGCCATATGTAAGAATACGGTGGAATATCCTTGCTCAAGGACTCTTCATTCACACTTGTTCAAGTTGGGTTTCATGCCAAACTATATTTGTTGGACGAAGCACGGAGAAACCGGCGTTGTAATGGAAGAAGATGAAGAAGAACAATGGGACGACAATGATATAATTCTCGACGGTGCATGCTTCAATGATACTGTAATGGAAGAAGCTAAAGAAGAGGTAGCCGCAGAAGATGAGTCTGCTGATGATCTTTGTCAGGTCATTCGTGACGCACAAAGAGAATGTGAAAGTGAAAAGGAGAAGATCAAGTTTGAGCGGATGCTAGAAGATCACAAGAAATTATTGTACCCAACTTGTGATGCAGGGCAGAAAAAGTTGGAAACTACACTAGAATTGCTGCAATGGAAGGCAAAGAATAGTATATCTGACAAGGGATTTGGAGAGTTACTAAAAATCCAAAAGAAGATGCTTCCGAAGGACAATGAATTGCCCGCCACTACCTACAAAGCAAAACAAGTTGTCTGTCCTATGGGGCTAGAAATCGAGAAGATACATGCATATCCTAATGAATGCATCCTCTACCGTGGCAAAGAGTACGAGAAATTGGATGCATGCCTGGTATGCCATGCAACGCGGTATAAGATCAGGCGAGATGACCCTAGTGATGTTGAGGGCGAACGTCCGTGGAAGAAAATCCCTGCCAAGGTTATGTGGTATGCTCCTATAATACCATGCTTGAAACGTCTATTCAGAAACAAAGAACATGCAAAATTGTTGCGACGGCACAAAGAAGACCGTAAGGTAGACAATATGTTGAGACACCCTGCTGATGGGTCCCAGTGGAGAGCAATCGACAGAGAATTCTAGGAGTTTGCAAATGACGCAAGAAACTTAAGGTTTGCTTTAAGTACAGATGGTATCAATCCTTTTGGAGAGCAGAACAGTAGTCATAGCACTTGGCCTGTTACTCTAAGTATCTACAACCTTCCTCCTTGGTTATGCACGAAGCGGAAGTTCATTATGATGCATGTGCTCATCCAAGGCCCGAAGCAACCTAGAAATGACATCGATGTGTACCTGAGACCACTTATTGACGAACTTCTCATTTTGTGGAATAAAGAAGGTGTACGTGTGTGGGATGAGTATAAATAGGAACACTTTGATCTGCGAACATTGTTGTTCGTAACAATCAATAATTGCCCTGCTCTAAGTAATCTTTTAGGACAGTCAAACAAGGGATATAATGCATGCACACACTGCTTCAGTGATATTAGAGGTGTATTCTTGAAAAATGTCGAAAGGTCGTGTACCTTGGCCATCGTCGATTTCTTCCTGCAAATCACCCCGTAAGAAAGAAAGGCAAGCATTTTAAAGGGAAGGCAGACCACCTGACCAAGCCTCGCAACCGAACCGGTGAGGATGTACTCGATATGGATCAGGTGTTCTATGTCAATGATATGTCTACCAAACCAAAAAGAGGGAAAAACGATAATGACTCAACCAAAGAGCCAAAGCGCCACA